TTACAGGGAGTACTGAATGAAGAGGTTCCCCCCTCCCAGGTTCCTGAGCCTGTGTAGGGATCTGAATAGTACCGTTTTTGTTTGAAATTCAGGGTAGTAGTGTAAATTTGGTTTGTGTTTATTTTTGGTTATTTTTGGTAATTAGTATGATTTGTTCATCTAAAACATTTTTTTTGTGGGGGGGTTTATGTATTATTTTTTTACTACCCTGTACAGTAGGTGGCGGCAATACACCTTATGAGTGTAGTCTGCCAATAAACCACAGAGAAGAAGAAGAAGAAGAAGCAGGTTTAACGGCGCTTGGCATCCAATACAGTATATCCTAACATTACTTTGTCAGGTAAAGACTCCTAATCAAAGCTCAAAAGAACAGACTGTGTCACCTCTGTTTCACCACGGTCCCCACCGTGCCACCTCCACACTTAATGCTACCCCAGAAAACACTTCCTTCAATGGTGCCCTGTACCTAAGTGCAAAGCAAGATACAGGTCTTTCCCCAAGTTGCGTTGCACGGAGCGCCTGCTCCCTCTGATCTGAAGAAACACAAAGAAACATCACAAGTCCACCTTCACCGACTCAACAGCACCCACCCTCCTTTCCACCTAACCCAAAACCACCCATGGATCAGCCAAAAGGCCTGGTTCCATTCTCTGCAAAAATCTCACTCCCACTGGACCAAAATAATCTTTATCATAACCATTTCCATCAATACTAGGCTCGGTCTCCGACCTCCTCACAACACCTTCTACCCCTTCCATTTCACCTCCAGAATGCGAACTGGGGTCCGGCTCACTTTGTTTGAACTTGACACCAATCTTCCTTGTTTTGCTAGCTTCAACAGATACAAACCCATCCTCTGACTCCCTTCCTCTCTCTTTCCCTCCAATCCTCCTCCCTTAACCCGACTACTTCTGAAAATATTCAAATTTTCCAAGTCTAAATCTATTTTTAGCCTCCTTGAGGGACATGCTAAGCCCTGTACTCCCTCCCTTGTCAGCTACACACTTGCGAGAGGCGCAAGTCCTTAATTCCTTCATCGCTGTTAGCTTAGCTATGTAATTGCCATTTGGCGCTATTTGCAGGTGGAAATGTTACTTGTGTAACCTTTAAACTGGAATAAAGACTGTTTTACATTGACCAAGGACTCACAGTAGGCGTTGACCGAGGTGATAATTTTTTGTTTTTTTGTTTTTTTGTGATTACAACTTTTTTCTGACCACTCCTCAGCTGACAGCTGACAGTTATGTCAAAAAAGAAGAACATCAAGACGAAGCAGCTGCTTTACAAGTGGGGAGCACTGTTGAGCGTTACATCTCAAGGGGTTCGTGCTGATTGTACGGAGATTGTGACAGCCGGTTAAATGGCGTCCCTTGAGAAGGCAAGAACAAGATGTACAGTGGGGAAAAAAAGTATTTAGTCAGCCAACAATTGTGCAAGTTCTCCCACTTAAAAAGATGAGAGGCGCCTGTAATTTTCATCATAGGTACACGTCAACTATGACAGACAAATTGAGGAAAAAATATCCAGAAAATCACATTGTAGGATTTTTAATGAATTTATTTGCAAATTATGGTGGAAAATAAGTATTTGGTCACCTACAAACAAGCAAGATTTCTGGCTCTCAAAGACCTGTAACTTCTTCTTTAAGAGGCTCCTCTGTCCTCCACTCGTTACCTGTATTAATGGCACCTGTTTGAACTTGTTATCAGTATAAAAGACACCTGTCCACAACCTCAAACAGTCACACTCCAAACTCCACTATGGCCAAGACCAAAGAGCTGTCAAAGGACACCAGAAACAAAATTGTAGACCTGCACCAGGCTGGGAAGACTGAATCTGCAATAGGTAAGCAGCTTGGTTTGAAGAAATCAACTGTGGGAGCAATTATTAGGAAATGGAAGACATACAAGACCACTGATAATCTCCCTCGATCTGGGGCTCCACGCAAGATCTCACCCCGTGGGGTCAAAATGATCACAAGAACGGTGAGCAAAAATCCCAAAACCACACGGGGGGACCTAGTGAATGACCAGCAGAGAGCTGGGACCAAAGTAACAAAGCCTACCATCAGTAACACACTACGCCGCCAGGGACTCAAATCCTGCAGTAGCAGACGTGTCCCCCTGCTTAAGCCAGTACATGTCCAGGCCCGTCTGAAGTTTGCTAGAGTGCATTTGGATGATCCAGAAGAGGATTGGGAGAATGTCATATGGTCAGATTAAACCAAAATATAACTTTTTGGTAAAAATTCAACTCGTCGTGTTTGGAGGACAAAGAATGCTGAGTTGCATCCAAAGAACACCATACCTACTGTGAAGCATGGGGGTGGAAACATCATGCTTTGGGGCTGTTTTTCTGCAAAGGGACCAGGACGACTGATCCATGTAAAGGATAGAATGAATGGGGCCATGTATCGTGAGATTTTGAGTGAAAACCTCCTTCCATCAGCAAGGGCATTGAAGATGAAACGTGGCTGGGTCTTTCAGCATGACAATGATCCCAAACACACCGCCCGGGCAACGAAGGAGTGGCTTCGTAAGAAGCATTTCAAGGTCCTGGAGTGGCCTAGCCAGTCTCCAGATCTCAACCCCATAGAAAATCTTTGGAGGGAGTTAAAAGTCCGTGTTGCCCAGCGACAGCCCCAAAACATCACTGCTCTAGAGGAGATCTGCATGGAGGAATGGGCCAAAAAACCAGCAACAGTGTTTGAAAACCTTGTGAAGACTTACAGAAAACGTTTGACCTGTGTCATTGCCAACAAAGGGTATATAACAAAGTATTGAGAAACTTTTGTTATTGACCAAATACTTATTTTCCACCATAATCTGCAAATAAATTCATTAAAAATCCTACAATGTGATTTTCTGGATTTTTTTTCCTCATTTTATCTGTCATAGTTGACGTGTACCTATGATGAAAATTACAGGCCTCTCTCATCTTTTTAAGTGGGAGAACTTGCACAATTGGTGGCTGACTAAATACTTTTTTTCCCCACTGTATGTCAGGACAAGTGCAGTATTATCATAAGGAGACGAATACGGAGGAGGAATGGAGGAAAAAAGAGAGGCAGAGGACGTATAAGAGAGTAAGGGAGGAAGAGGGTGAGCTTGAGTCGGTTCAAAATGGCGGAAAAAAGGGAGATGGTTTGTTAAAGAAGAATGGTAGAAAGTGTAAGCAGAGTGAGCTGAAGACAGAAAGAGAACTGGAAGTGAATGAGGGCTTAGTATCGGAGGTGGTAGGTGTGGTGAAGTTCTCGGAGCCTGAGGCTTGCACCGAGGGTCAGGAAAAGACGAGTCTGTGACAGTAGGAGTGAAGTTTTTGGAAAAAGTGGACCCTTGCCTTTTGGCTGATCCATTTGTGGTTTCAGGGTGGGTGAAAACAGAGTTGGGTGCTGTGGAATTGGTGAGGGTAACCAAAAGTGGTCTTGTGATAATTGTTTGTGTTTCTGCTGGTCAGAGGGAGCAGGTGCTCCGCGTTAAACAAATGGAGGCAAGAGATGTGAATTGTTTTACTCTCAAGAAAATGAGTGATTACTCCGGATAGCTGTAAATGTGAAAGATGACCAACTGAAGGGGAAGATTCCCGGTGTTTGTGATGCTTAGTTGTTTGGTGCAACGCAGACAGGGTGGCGTGAGTGGTGAAACAGAGGAGTAATTGTCTGTTCTTTTGAGTTTTGATGTCTTTGCCTGACAAAGTGATGTTAGGATATATAAGTTATCCCGTACAAGCTTTTGTGCCGATTACATTACGTTGTTACAGGTGTCAAGCTTATGGGCATGTGGCAGCAGTGTGTAGGCGCACAATTGGCCCAGCGTCGTCCAGGGTAGGGGAGGGAATGGCCGGCAGGGATGCAACTCAGTTAGTAGAGCATGGCGTTTGCAACGCCAGGGTTGTGGGTTCGATACCCACGAGGGGCCAGTATAAAAAAATAATGTATGCACTCACTAACTGTAAGTCGCTCTGGATAAGAGCGTCTGCTAAATGACTAAAATGTAAAATGTAAAATGTGGGAGGGATGTTCCTAAATGTGAGAAGTGTGCAGAAGGGCATGAGACAAAGGAATATGTAGCATTGGGGGAAAGTATTGATATGTGTTAATTGTAGGGGTGCACATGGGGCTGGGGATCAGAAATGTCCGGTGCGAGAGAGACAGGTTGATGTTTCCAGGGTTAGAATAGTGCAGAAGTTGTCATATGCTGAGGCAGTGAAGAAAGTAGAGGAAGATGGGTCAAGGGGGAGGGATCCTGAGAAGAGTGGTAGATCTGTACCCGTACAGAGGGATAAGCCAACAAGTGATATATGTTTTAGTAAGATTGGATTTTTAGCATTTATAGCAATGGTTATCAACTGTACTGCAGGGATGGAACGTAAGTCGCAGAACATTGAGGTTGTGGTGGCAGCTGCAGAGAGGTATTTGGGTGTGCGAGGCTTGACATCAGAAGAGTTACAAGGTGTGTTAAGTGGTGGTGTCCCATCCTTTCAGGCTGTTGGCCTGAAGTAGGACTAAATACATTTAAATAGTGGAGTAGGGTGGTTTTATTTTTATTTTTTTTAATAGTTAGTTTAGTGTTAGATGGTAGGGTTTTTTCAAAGTATAAGGGAGTTATAAAATAAAAAAATTCCAGTTCTCTTAAAAAATAAAAAAAATGTAATTATTTTGCACTATAGCCTATTTATTGCCTTACCTCCATAACTTGCTACATTTGCACACACTGTATATATATTTTCTGTTGTATTTTATGACCTTATGTTTTTTTTACCCTATATGTAACTATGTGTTGTTGTTTTTATCGCACTGCTTTGCTTTATCTTGGCCAGGTCGCAGTTGTAAATGAGAACTTGTTCTCAACTGGCTTACCTGGTTAAATAAAGGTGAAATAAAAAATAAATAAATAAAATACTCCAGTCTAGTAGGTGGCGGTAATGCAACATTTATTGGATGCCAACCGCCGTTAAACCTCATCTGAGAAGAAGACAGTTACGTCATCAACTGAAATGCACTGCGCATGTCAGTTTGTTTGATGATAAACAAGACCTGTATAACCTAAAACGATTGCAAGGAAAAACATAACTCGTATTCTGGTAAGACGGACAATAGTAATTTAATTTCACCGTTGAATAAATAGTATGCAGTTAAATATATTTTGTGTCGTTATGATGTCTGTCATTTGATTTTATTGTAGTGCATATCAAACAACAGTGGCCTGCTGCTATCGTTAGCTAACCTGCTAACGTTATCTTGTTGCACCCATTTTCGCTATCTAGCTAGCTTGTTAGCCAGTTTATGTTATGATAGTTTATTTACTAGCTATCTAGTTTACAAACCAGTCGACAGTCAAAAGACTCTCTTGCTAACCCAATGAGGAAACTCAATTGAGCTTAATTGACTAAAGTTATTTAGCGATGAAGCGCAAACAGCATGATGTCGAGTGTAGTGGAACAGTGAATTAAACAAATATGAAGTTTCCCGTTTGTTAGCTAAAGCCCGTTATCATGTTAGCTAGCTTATCTAGGTAGGTTCCCTTGATATCATTGTACAGTGAGGGGAAAAAGTATTTGATCCCCTGCTGATTTTGTACGTTTGCCCACTGACAAAGAAATTATCAGTCTATAATTGTAATGGTAGGTTTATTTGAACAGTGAGAGACAGAATAACAACAAAAAAATCCAGAAAAACGCATGTCAAAAATGTTATAAATTGATTTGCATTTTAATGAGGGAAATAAGTATTTGATCCCCTCTCAATTAGAAAGATTTCTGGCTCCCAGGTGTCTTTTATACAGGTAACGAGCTGAGATTAGGAGCACACTCTTAAAGGGAGTGCTCCTAATCTCAGTTTGTTACCTGTATAAAAGACACCTGTCCACAGAAGCAATCAATCAATCAGATTCCAAACTCTCCACCATGGCCAAGACCAAAGAGCTCTCCAAGGATGTCAGGGACAAGATTGTAGACCTACACAAGGCTGGAATGGGCTACAAGACCATCGCCAAGCAGCTTGGTGAGAAGGTGACGAGTTGGTGCGACTATTCGCAAATGGAAGAAACACAAAATAACTGTCAATCTCCCTCTGCCTGGGGCTCCATGCAAGATCTCACCACGTGGAGTTGCAATGATCATGAGAACGGTGAGGAATCAGCCCAGAACTACACGGGAGGATCTTGTCAATGATCTCAAGGCAGCTGGGACCATAGTCACCAAGAAAACAATTGGTAACACACTACGCTGTGAAAGACTGAAATCCTGCAGCGCCCGCTCAAGAAAGCACATATACAGGGCCGTCTGAAGTTTGCCAATGAACATCTGAATGATTCAGAGGAGAACTGGGTGAAAGTGTTGTGGTCAGATAAGACCAAAATCGAGCTCTTTGGCATCAACTCAACTCGCCGTGTTTGGAGGAGGAGGAATGTTGCCTATGACCCCAAGAACACCATCCCCACCGTCAAACATGGAGGTGGAAACATTATGCTTTGGGCGTGTTTTTCTGCTAAGGGGACAGAACAACTTCACCGCATCAAAGGGACGATGGACGGGGCCATGTACCGTCAAATCTTGGGTGAGAACCTCCTTCCCTCAGCCAGGGCATTGAAAATGGGTCGTGGATGGTTATTCCAGCATGACAATGACCCAAAACACACAGCCAAGGCAACAAAGGAGTGGCTCAAGAAGAAGCATATTAAGGTCCTGGAGTGGCCTAGCCAGTCTCCAGAACTTAATCCCATAGAAAATATGTGGAGGGAGCTGAAGGTTCGAGTTGCCAAACGTCAGCCTCGAAACCTTAATGACTTGGAGAAGATCTGCAAAGAGGAGTGGAACAAAATCCCTCCTGAGATGTGTGCAAACCTGGTGGCCAACTACAAGAAACGTCTGACCTCTGTGATTGCCAACAAGGGTTTTGCCACCAAATACTCATAAAAATGCAAATCAATGTATAACATTTTTGACATGCATTTTTCTGGATTTTTTTTGTTGTTATTCTGTCTCTCACTGTTCAAATAAACCTACCATTCAAATTATAGACTGATCGTGTCTTTGTAGTAGGCAAACGTACATAATCAGCTGGCGATCAAATAATTGTTTCCCTCACTGTACCTTTAACTAGCTATAGACCTTGTTGTTTGGCCATTTCTTTTTGACTTGAAGAAGCCAGCCTGCCAATGTTACCTAATCAATGTCTAGCTAGCTAGCTTCTATTTGTCTTTGTCAAATACAGTATTTTTCTCCAGCCCTGCTCTAACAGGCAACCAGTAAGAAAACATATAGGGAATGATGGCCCTCACTTACTAAACAAAAAATGTAGAAACATTTATTGTGGGACTTAGTTTTCCCATTAAGGTACTCTTGAAGAAAACAGAAGGATTTAACTTCATTATTTAAAACGCCTTTATTGTCTTGGCAAACAAATGCCAATCAGTAACCTTTGACCCTCTCCTCTCTCCTCCAGGTGTGACCATGGGGAAGGCCCTCTCCCTGCTGCCCAAGCAGGCATGCCACGATGACTCCCTGACCACCACCACCCAGGAGGATGATGGGAAGAGAGAGGACGTGTCCCAGTTCCCCTACGTAGAGTTCACAGGCCGGGACAGCGTCACATGTCCCAGCTGCCAGGGCACTGGGAGGATACCTAGAGGTGAGCACCACACACACACACACACATACTTATGTAGAGTTCACTGGCAGGGACAGCGTCACATGTCCCAGCTGTCAGGATACAGGCAGGATACCTAGAGGTAAACAGGAGGAGTAGAATACTACTAGCCTGGTCCCAGATAACTTAGTTAAGCTGCTATATCATTTGAATGAATATGACTGGGTGATTTGCTCAGTTCAGGGTCGTAGTCAGACTGCAGTTGAAGTGCTGATGTGTATGGAAAACCACAAGGGTGCTCTCTTGTGGATAATGAATAGTGTGATTCAGACTCACTCTGTGGGCTTGAGGGAATGAGACCAATCACTGAATTTGGCATATGAATGACACGTGCTTTGCCTGTAGACTCACTATAATCAAAGCTGTGTTATTTGTAGTTCATGATTTTATCCCCGGAGCCTGGTGAATGTCCCCTTTGAGGGATAACAATGTTGTACAGTAATTATTAGTGATGTGAATCTCTCCTTTCAAACACGATTCGATAGCTATCTAGCCATTAATTATTTCACAATTGAATGGAAAAAATCTTATGGAGAAAAAACTATTTTCCTAAGTTTTTCCTTGAGGCGGCGGCATAGGTGCCAATAGCGTAAGAGAAGCAGATCTGAGGGCCAGCACCAATCCACACCTAGGAACACCACATGACTGAAGGCGCATGAACGCACGCACCCAAACCCACGCACAGGCACAGTCAAATAATAACCCCTGGGTTTTATGGGAAAAACACTGCAGCTATGCAGTCACTCCTTCATGGCTCTATGACAAATAACTTGACTATTTTCCTTCCAGTTTTTCCCTAGGCCACACAGTAGCCTTAGTTTTGGCACACAAAACAGAGAACTAGATGTTCATACACTTGTTTGAGGACGTTACAGCATGTCATTACACCCTCCAGTGGTGAGAGCCTGCTCTAGTCGTTTTCCGCATACTCTATGCCTAAGATTCAGGTGGTGCTACTCCACAGCTCTGTTTGCTTCCCTGAAGCACATGCATATTTGGAACCAGGCTAGCTCTGTAAGAGATTTTGCTGAGAAAGCAACTTCCCACTATTTTGTGTTAACTTTTCTTTGAGCCTCCTAATCATAATTATAAAGTTTTAAATTATACCTATTTCATCCAAAATCGGTAAAATACCAATATTGGCCAATAAGATCAGTGAAATGATTTAATTGGTCAGGCTCTAGCTATGACAGCCAATTAATATAGCACAGCTTTGGATTTCACCTGTCTCAACAGCAAATGGTTTTGACCGTTTGACCATAGGCCTACAGTGCAGCTCGCCAAAATGATTGCTGTCCTTGTTATGAATTTACAACTTCACCCTGTTCATGTAAAAATGACCAAATGCACTGACTGTTTAAAGCGAAACTACCAAAACTATATCTTATGGTGAACCTGGCAATTGAAAAGCCCCAATTAGCAGTAAGATGTGCAATCAGCAAGATGTGAGTTGTGTCCACTCCGGTAGCCTACACAACTCTGCCAGTAAAACACAATTTTCTACAGCGCATTTGTTAACAATGACCCTGCAAATTACATTGGTTGTCACCCAACTAATAAAGCCTATGATTTGACATTGCGAAAGCCATTTTACAATAATTTAAGTGCTGAAGGTGCCACGCAGATATACAAATATTAGATCAGGGATAGGCTCTCGTTGCCGCAAGCTGCGGCGCTCTGTGCGCACAGTTGTTGTCTGACTTGGAGATCAATGACTGTCATGTGCATTGACATGCTTAGTTCGATAGGCTGCTGAAGGAGAGGAAGCATCAATTCAGTCACAAAAGATTTAGAGGTATTTTATTTTTTTTATAGTAAAAAACGTTAGTGAACCGGCGGTCCGTAACGTTTGAATCGATTTTCTGACCGATTTTGGATCGGTTTGGGCTCCCGCGAACTGATGCACTCATCTTAAACAGTTGAACCAGGGATTGATGCCTGTCGGTGAATCGGTACACCCCTAGTATTGCTGTAATGTTGTGTTGTGCTGTAGTTATGTCAGATGATCAGCTGTTTAAGATCAGTGTTTAAAATATTTCCTTGCATTACGCAGGCCAAGAGAACCAGTTGGTGGCGTTGATCCCATACAGTGACCAGAGACTCAGGCCCAGGAGAACGTAAGTGGAATGTTGTTGGGTTGGTATCTCTAGCTGTAGGATAAACGTCACAATAATGTTTTCCGATGTGACTGCAACTTTGCGAGTAACTATTCCTTTCTTGTAATATTCTTTGAATCCTGCATTTGGAAAATTGCTACTCCTGACCCTGTCTTTGACTCTCTCTTTCACAGAAAGCTGTATGTGACGGCCTCAGTGGCTGTGTGTCTGCTGCTGTCCAGCCTGGCTGTCTTCTTCCTGTTCCCTCGTACCATAGACGTCTCTTATGTGGGCGTCAAGTCTGTCTTCGTCACCTACGACGAGGACAAGAGGATTGTCTATCTCAACGTGACGGTGAGCCTCTCTCCTCTGGTCTAACCACACCATGATGATTTGGATCACAAAGTAGGACAGTCACAGGAGGAGACTGCTTTTCCTTATCAACCTGTTCTTTGCTCCAAAGGTTGGCAATGTTCGGGCAGATGAGTTGGGTCACAAATATAGTGGGATTCTAGGTATCCTGCCATCCCTGGCAATTGAGCCCTTGAGCAAGGCACTTCTCCTAAACTGCTCCAGGGTTGCCGCACTGGCTAACTCTGGCTTCCAACCTGTGTGTGTGTGTGTGTGTTTTTGTCGGAGGGTAAGGTTAAAAGACAAATACTAATTTCTGAGATCATAAAATGACAAAATATTATTCTTCCTTCCAGAACACTCTGAACATCACCAATAACAACTACTACAGTGTAGAGGTGTCCAACATCTCAGCCCAGGTCCAGTTCTCCAAGACGGTGATCGGGAAGTCCCGCATCAATAACATCACCGCTATCAGTCCTCTGGGCATGCAGCAGGTACACAGCTCTGTAATAACATGGTAACAGCTCTGTAATAACATGGTAACAGCTCTGTAATAACATGGTAACAACTCTGTAATAACATGGTAACAGCTCTGTAATAACATGGTAACAACTCTGTAATAACATGGTGACAACGCTGTAACAACTCTGTAATAACATGGTAACAACTCTGTAATAACATGGTAACAACTCTGTAATAACATGGTAACAACTCTGTAATAACATGGTAACAACTCTGTAATAACATGGTGACAACGCTGTAACAACTCTGTAATAACATGGTAACAACTCTGTAATAACCAGGGGTGAGTGAGGCGTCCCGGCAAAATAAATAGTGGGGGTACATGAGCCTAGCACAATAATTAAAACAAAATGTCAAGAAAATTGTAGGCTATTGCACCACTTTTTATCATTACCACATGTCAGAGGCATGAAAAATGAGCGAATGGACTTAGCCTACACCGCAAAATGCGATGTGGTTCGACGAGAACACTGGCATTTTGCCAAGGCAGAGATGAGTGGCCAACACCGAGACGCGCAAGCAGCAGTGGACGCATACATTTTGGCCTAATGACAATCACCAAATGTCATTACACTTTGTTGTTTTGTGTAACAGATGTCTCTTTCCATTCACCACTGTTTGTAGGCTGGAAATATGTTGCGAGTGGATGAAGGTGCCTGGGTAGCCTAGTAAAGAGGCCTTTTGAAGTGATTGTTTGACAATCGGATGAAAACATCATGACTGGTTGTGTTTATGCCACAATGATAGGTAATACATTTAAAACGTTAAATGACAAATCGTTACGACTAGGCACACAGAGATCCTATTGAATTAATAGGGATTATATATGTAATTCTATGAGTCTACTTTCACCCCTGGTAATAACATGGTAACTGCGCTCTAATAGTGTGGTTATTACAAAACAATCATTATTGGACATGCAGCAGAAACTCCAGTTTCACCCAATTCAAGACCCAACAACCCATAGCTGTTTAAAAAAAAAATAATTGATTCAGACACCTCTTCCTGGTCCTGCATCCCTTAACTTGTCACACAGTATTTCAGTGTAATTTCCTATTTTGGTTCTTCAAGCACTTTTTTCCCATGTCACCTTTTTTGATCATAACCCTGTGTGTTGTGTTGTTCCCAGGTTGACTACATGGTTCCCACCATTATAGCAGACGAGATGAGTTACATGTAGTAAGTACAACCCAGTACATCACAGTAATAGTATTATGAGAACACTGGGAGCCTGACAAAGACCTAATGGTCGAGACTTTGTTTTAAAGAAAACCTATGGCAGTACAGATTGCGGTGTGCAGTCCTCTTAGTTCTTGCTTAACCTCTTCCCCAGGCTCATTTGTTACCACATATAGAACCTGGAAACAGTGTGAAACAAAGTGGGACTTGAAAGGGGCACATGTTAAAATCGAGGCGGGAGAGGCACCGAGAGTCTGCCACAGCTGGATTCATTGGGACTTTGAAATATTCAGAAAATCGCCTATAAATGTTAGATCACAGTGACCATATAATTTTTTGGGAAGCACTATTGATTCTGAGCTTGGGCATGTAACGTTTATGGGAAGACATATTTATATGTCAGGGGTATTCAACCGGGGGTCCGCGGAGATACTGCAGGGGGTCCATGAAAAAAAATTAAGAGAACATTATTATTATTGTTTTTATATGTATATCGCTAGCAACAACTTTTTAATTTGTTATTACATACCTACAATAGAAAAGAGGAGAATATCTTCTAACTTTATTTCTTAACTTCATACAGAACTCTTGACTTTTTCCAAATGTTGTTACGTTACGGCCTTATTCTAAAATTGATAAAATATATATATATTTTTTTTGCAATCTACACACAACACCCCATAATGACAAAGCGAAAACAGTTTTTTAGACAGAAAAACAGAAAAACCTTATTTACATAAGTATTCAGACCCTTTTCTATTAGACTCGAAATTGAGCTCAGGTGCATCCTGTTTCCATTGATCATCCTTGAGATGTTTCTACAACTTGATTGGAGTCTATCTGTGGTAAATTCAATTGATTGGACATGATTTGGAAAGGCACACACCTGTCTATATAAGGTCCCACAGTTGACAGTGCATGTCAGAGCAAAAACCAATCCATGAGGTCAAAGGAATTGCCCGTAGAGCTCCGAGACAGGATTGTGTCGAGGCACAGATCTGGGGAAGGGTACCAACAAATGTCTGCAGCATTAAAGATCCCCAAGAACACAGTGGCCTCCATCATACTTAAATGGAAGAAGTTTGGAACCACCAAAACTCTTCCTAGAGCTGGCTGCCTGGCCAAACTGAGCAATCGAGGGAGAAGGGCCTTGGTCAGGGAGGTGTCCAAGAACCCGATGGTCACTCTGACAGAGCTCTAGAGTTCCTCTGTTGAGATGGGAGAACCTTCCAGAAGGACAACCATCTCTGCAGCACTCCACCAATCAGGCCTTTATGGTAGAGTGGCCAGACTGAAGCCACTCCTCAGGAAAAGGCACATGACAGCCTGCTTGGAGTTTGCCAAAAGGCACCTGAGACTCTCAGACCATGAGAAACAAGATTCTCTGGGCTGATGAAACCAAGATTGAACTCTTTGGCCTGAATGCCATACGTCACGTCTGGAGGAAACCTGGCACCATCCCTACGGTGAAGCATGGTGGTGGCAGCATCATGCTGTGGGAATTTATTTCAGCAGCAGGGACTGGGAGACTAGTCAGGATCGAGGCAAAGATGAACGGAGCGAAGTACAGAGAACTACTTAATGAAAACCTGCTCCAGAGCACTCAGGACCTCAGACTAGGGTGAAGATTCACCTTCCAACAGGACAACTATCCTAAGCACACAGCCAAGACAACGCAGGAGTGGCTTCGGGACAAGTCTCTGAATGTCCTTGAGTGGCCCAGCCAAAGCCTGGACTTGAACCCTATCGAACATCTCTGGAGAGACCTGAAAATAGCTGTGCAGCAACGCTCCCAATCCAACCTGACAGAGCTTGAGAGGATCTGCAGAGAAGAATGGGAGAAACTCCTCAAATAAAGGTGTGCCAAGCTTGTAGCGTCATACCCAAGAAGACTCGATGCAGTAATCGCTGCCAAAGGTGCTTCAACAAAGTACTGAGTAAAGGGTCTGAATAACTATATAAATGTGATATTTCAGGTTTATTTTTATAAAACCTGTTTCTGCTTTGTCATTTTTTTTTAATGTGTTTTAATATTATATACGGATGGCACTGTGATAGACTACATCCAATTTGCTGAGTAGAGTGTTGGAGGCTATTTTGTAAATGACATCGCCGAAGTCAAGGATCGGTAGGATAGTCAGTTTTACGAGGGCATGTTTGGCAGCATGAGTGAAGGAGGCTTTGTTGCGAAATAGGAAGCCGATTCTAGATTTAACTTTGGATTGGAGATTCTAAATGTGAGTCTGGAAGGAGAGTTTACAGTCTAACCAGACACCTAGGTATTTGTAGTTGTCCACATACTCTAGGTCAGACCCGTCGAGAGTGGTGATTCTAGTCGGGTGGGAGGGTGCCAGCAGCGTTCGATTGAAGAGCATGCGTTTAGTTTTACTAGTGTTTAAGGGCAGTTGGAGGCTACTGAAGGAGTGTTGTATGGCATTGAAGCTCATTTGGAGGTTTGTTAACACAGTGTCCAATGAAGGGCCAGATGTATACAAAATGGTGTCGTCTGCGTAGAGGTGGATCTGAGAATCACCAGCAGCAAGAGCGACATCATTGATATACACGGAGAAAAGAGTCGGCCCAAGAATTGAACCCTGTGGCACCCCCATAGAGACTGCCAGAGGTCCAGACAACAGGCCCTCCGATTTGACACATTGAACTCTATCTGAGAAGTAGTTAGTGAACCAGGCAAGGCAGTCATTTGAGAAACCAAGGCTATTTAGTCTGCCAATAAGAATGCGGTGGTTGACAGTCGTTATGGGGTGTTGTGTGTAGATTGATGAGGGGGAAAAAATGTTTAATACATTTTCGAATAAGGCTGTATCTTAACAAAATGTGGAAAAAGTCACGGGGTCTGAATACTTTCCGTAGGCGCTGTATATTGAGGCAATTACACTCACTGGAGTATCTGACATAGGCTTTAAAAAAGCACCTGTGAAAAGGATACCAGTGTGGCAAGTGCGGCTGGTAAGCTTTCTTGACTTGGACATACATTTTTGCCAACACATGGCTAACCTTTATTTTAACAAGCTAAACAGCTGCTCTTAGCAAAAATGTGTTTGCAGTTACTTTACTAGCTAATAGACTAGTTTACACTTCCTCTTCCAATTATAATGTGGACAGGTCCTTTCTTATGTATGTTGGGGGTCCTTGGGTTGCCGGTTTTCCTGGGAGGGGGTCCCTGGGCAAGATCAGGTTGAAGATCCCTGTCTTAGATTCATACTTTCCGATTTCCCGAACTTCGTTTCTTGTTTAGCCTATCACTTGCGCTGCTCCGTAGAGGGGGTTTCAAGGGTTATGCTAGATGGTGATGGACTGAGAGATCAGCCAATGAAAATCCAACGGGACTTTTTCCCTCTCCTGCCATAGGCTCCATTCAAGTCCCTTTCTGAAACTGTGAAACCAGACGGTTCGACAGAGAAAGCCGACTGGTGGACAATATTATTTATTTGCTCATCACCTGAAACAGCCAATCTGACTGAAGTGTCTGTTCTTCTATTTCCCAGTGATTACTGCACCCTGCACACCATAAAGGTGCACAACATCGTGGTTATGATGCAGTAAGTATGCGGTCTGCACACGTCTCTTTAATCATTCACACAGGACCACAGAAGCCTGGTTCCCATTCTCCCATGTAATACTTGTTAATGTTATATTTAATTAAATTGAATCATCTTGTTGTTTCCAGGGTGACTGTGACCACATCGTACTTTGGCCACATGGAGCAGGTCACTCAGGAGATGTACCAGTATGTAGACTGTGGAGGTAACACCACCACTGTGAGGGGGGCACAGCCCAAGGTATCTAATGCCCCAATGCCCCCAGAGTAACCCCCATGCTGCCCCTCTGCCTTGCCTGACCTGAGCCTGGTCCTGGTGAGGGTCCTTGGATGCTAGTCTTAGTTCAGGGATCTGGGAAACCTGGCAAATCTGGAGAGCTACTGTGTGTGTAGGCTTTTGTTTCCAGCCCTTCTCTAACACAGCTGATCAGCTGAATAAGGAATGTTAGAGCAGAGATAAACGTGTGCACCCAGTAGCTCTCCAGGAGGATGGTTGGCCACCCCAGCCGAAGATGGTTCACTGTGTTCCACCTTCCTCTTCACCACCCATCTACTGATGAAGACCCCACTGTCATGCATTTCTGTGTTAGCTTACCATTTTGTTGGGAGTATAGGCCAAATGTGCAGTTGAGGGAAAAATGAGACTACTGACAAAAATAATTATTTTAATGTCTAAAAAACACTTAAGTACCACAATATTTCAGTACCAAATCATTATGCACTTTATTAATGCATTTCAAATTCAACCTGTCACTGTGACAATGTAAAATTTCATGGTGGCACTCCAGACTCCTCCAAACCACTTTGAACTGTAAATGTGTATGAAGTAATAACTTTCCTTTGTCTATGGATGAGGATAACCCCCGAAAGAGTTCTCTCAGTAATCTGGTCTGAAATCTGTATGATAGTCAGAGAAGTTGAACCAACAGATCTGGGACCAGTCTACTATTCTCAAAGTTAGACCTGTCCTAACACAATAATGTGTATTATTTTGACAGATTAATCTAGTCCATTTAAATCTGCCGATAAATCACAATTTAGAGGTACAGTGAGCTAAGTCTGAAATTACACTATCCCCTACATAACACTACTAGGGCTCTGGCCAAAGGTAGTGCACTATGGAATAGGGTGCCATTTGGGATGAAGCCAAAATGTGGTGTTCCAATATTTCTCTGCTTGTAATGTCCGGTCTGTACAATCTGTGGAATTGGACCAGTTGTTTACTAATATTGGGTGATCCGTCTCAGTGTTAATGTGTGATCCGTTGACATGAATTGAAAGGCAAATGTCCCTGAAATTGAGTAATTTTTAAGATATTAAGTTCCTTCCACCACTCTGTTCCCAATTGGTACAATATTGATTGATTGTGATTCATTATCAGTAATTTACTCCTCTTCCTCTGAGTTTGTGCCTACGAGGGACTTGCGTAAGGTTTTGTGATCCCTACCTACTGCTGATTTGTATTTGACCAACTGAATTTTTACATCAATTTTCATATTTTCATGATATGCATAAAGAGGATCAATTAATAACCTGCAAGGGACTTTGTGCGTTTTTGATAAATGACTTCCCTGCCTATCAAACTCAGTTGAAGAGTTTGTAGAACTACCTAGATTTAATGAAAACCTGTTTTAATACCACATTTGTAATATGATTCTTACCTACATTGTGGAGAACCTTTTGAAAAATGAACTCAAATTAATATAAACTACCCTCTGTCATAGATAGAAATATACTTTGAATTATAAACTGGGTGGTTTGAGCCCTGAATTCTGATTGGATGAAAGCCATGGTATATCAGACCGTATTCCACGGGTAAGACAAAATATTTAGTTTTACTGGTCTAATTACGTTGGTAACCAGTTAAAATAGCAATAAGGCTCCTCAGGGTTTTGTGATATATGGCCAATATACCACGGCTAAGGGCTGCGTCCAGGCACTCTGCGTTGCGTCGTGCAAAAAACAGCCCTTAGCCGTGGTATACTGGCCATATACCACACCACCTCGGGCATTATTGCTTAATTATACAACTCAAATTAATAGAAACTACCCTCTGTCATAGATAGAAATATACCTTGAATTTCTTAATGAATACTCAAACCGTGTAGTTTGCCATTATCTAATTTGCAGTTTCCTAGGTTATTGTAGAGCACAACTATTAACATGTGTACAGTCGTGTTCCTAATCAAGCACCTTAATCGTGTATGGAGGAGTGGTTCAGCTTTTGATTGAATGTTATGATTGAGTGAAGACTTTAAATACTATTAGCACATCAACAAGAAGAGTGGTTTGATGATCTGACAAGGTTCTTTCCGAATGTCTACGTCTGATGTGGGGTAGATACATTATTTTGATTAACAACTGTATTTGACTAGCTGTAAATACTAGCTGTTTTTAAAGAGTGTAAATGTAGTTGTGTGTTTTTGTTTTTATTTGTGTGATTTGCTTTTCATCATTATATATTCAAAGTCATTTGACCTACCTAGTTATGTTGTCATGCTATTACATTTCTTTCTGAAAGCATGAATAAAGTTGTCACCACATTTGTCTGTTATCTTGTATTTTCTTCAGTCTTTGTTCATGCCTTTTCTATAACTAACCACCGAGGCACTGGTAAGAAATGGAACACATGCTTTAGCACATTAATCAGTGTGACATCACAATTCACTCAAAGTGCGTTCATGAACCAGAATTGGAAGCATACTGGTAATTCTGATAAGATGCATGTTTGCAAAACGGTTGTCTCCTGAGCAAAACTGAACACACACAATGTTGCCATAAGGACAGTTGACTGCAAGTGTGGACAGTTTTTACATCATAAACCCCATATATAACATCATAAACACCTGTCTGCATAAATAGCCAGTTTCGGTGGCATTTGGCAAATTATTTCATTTCCCTAGGTGGCTGAAGGTACATTGATAACCAACCATGCACTTTCAGCCCATTTTGGAAGGTGATCTTCCTTTTGCCTTTCAGCGAGAAAATGGTAAGTTGATATTACTGATGACATGTTTATGCATACTTGTTGTATCCTTAATGACGTGTACACTGTCAGATGAGCCATAACATGGCTGTAGCCTCAACGTTTTTTGGCTTGACAATGGAGCAAGAGCACCAATAGATCCTGGACCAGGCTAGTAACCAGAGTTTGAATCCCAGGACGGACAGGGAAATCTGGAGGAAGTTGCAGTCAGAGAGTTGCTGGCTTCAATTTCCTATGTTCTATACCCAGTGCCATTGTGCCCTTGGGCAAAGCACTTACCGCCAGCTAAACCTGTTCTGCTCCCAGCCTGCCGTGTGTGTCAGGTTGGGTCCATAGCTTTGACAGCAAATATGAAAAGAATGTCTCTGCAAATAGTATTGTATATTACACAGATTGTATAACTTGTTTATTTTTACATTTTGTGTATTCAGGACCAGCAGTGACATTACTTGTGAACAATGCTGCCCCTGCCCCTTACAGTGCAGGTGGGGTATACCAGGTGTACCACGCAGCACCATCGGCATCCTGGCAACGTCTTCCTGTGTACCATGCTCCCCCACCTCACCAGCTGACCTTGACCACTTCAGAGATACATGGGCCCTGTTGAAACACCTGAGACAAGACAGCATCAGGAGGTTTCTGACTCGAGCCACGGATGGGCTCTCAGCGGTTCCAAGATACCCAGATCTTCTGTCACGATCGTTGGAAACAGTGGACCAAGGCGCAGCGTTGAAGGCGAACATACTTTTATTATTTAGAATGAACACACGAACAAAAACGATAACGTGACGTCCTCGGTTCTAGCACAAACCTATACTGGAACAAGATCCCACACCAAACAATGCCAAACGGCTACCTAAGAATGGCTCCCAATCAGAGACAACGAGCTACAGCCGTCTCCGATTGGAAGCCACCCTGGCCAACATAGAAATACTAAACTAGAACAAAACCCAATGAAAACTCACACCCTGGCTCAACATACTAGAGTCCCCAGAGCCAGGGCGTGACACAGGGTCACATTATATGGCCTGGACCGCAACCCACTGGCCGACAGGGAGGACTTTACACTGGAGTGCTACCTGGACATGTTCACTGACTGAAACACAGTGACTGTGACTACAGAACAATAACCCATCAATTGTATTGGGATTTTTCACCAATAAACATTTGGAATAACGACAATGCTCTGCTGTTGTTTATTCCAATGTAATGTGTGTTTGTTTACACTAGAATCAGTTGTAGGAAATAGAATAGAATACCGTCATTATAGATTAGCAAGTGTGAATAACGTCACACTGTTAGCTAGTTAATTAACTAGTCATTTTGATATCTCCATGTCTCAGGGAAATTAAATGTAGTTGGTGGACCTATGTTTTTGATTGATCTCAGGCAGCAATGATGACAAACAGGACGATAACATATCAAGACGAGGAAGGAAGACAAAGTGCTAGATTTTTCTCAGCACTTGTTTTCTGCTGTTGGAACTGTGGCTGTCGTTCTGATTTTAAGGGCTGTGTGTATAGGCCTTATCCTCTCAAGGCTGAGCGCCCCAAAGGACACAACAGAACAGGGCAAGACTTCTGTTCACATGGAGACCCAATATGAAGACATAATATCTGACCCAATCAAGCAGATGATTCATCTTGTGAAACATGTTGACCCAGAAGTAAGCCCTCAGTGAAAAAGTGCCTTAATGAAATTGACTACACTGCTGTGTAGAGGCAGACAGATTGAAATATTGTCTGCGCTTGTGTTATGACAGTTTGCTACGGGAGTCAGTTAATACATTGATACAGTAGGCTATTACATCATACAGCTATTGCTACATCATAGCTAGTTATGTAGTGTTATCAGTGCTTGACTTGGACTGAAATAGGTTCCGGTACTCATTTTGGGTGTCGGTATTGTTTATATTTAGGTGTAGGAGCTCCACAATGCTTTTGAGCTAATATTCTATAAGATGAACAGGGGCTCAAGCAGTAGAACATGTGGTACTTGCCGGTACTCGGCTCCGGTGAGCTCCTGCCTGCCCAAGTCAAGCACTGAGTGTTATGCCTATTCAATGGGCCAGATTCAGTATGGTGATATTTTGAATTTAGCTGGTATTTATGACATTATAGCTGTTCTTTACTAAATAATGAATTAAACCTCTCAAATATCCAATTCCCAGCAGATGCAGACCAGCAGATATCGGGCAATGTTCCTCTCTACCCTTTAACTTTGAAACAGTGTCAACTAGAAGTTGTTGAATTCCAGTAAACTATTGATTTAATTATGAACCATCTAATAGTCTTGTAATAGATGACACATGACTGAGAACTTGTTTGCTTAACTGCATGCAATCACTTACTGGTGGAGAGGTCACATGCTGTCTTTGAATCTAACACACAGACACACACACACACACACTTTTACTGCACTCATTTCAAAGTATTACTTCCTATAAACTTCCCCTATCTTGCCATAAACATTTTTGCCTTCCCTCACCATTGTAAAGAAAATACTATGAGAAAATAACACAGCCAATGTAAAGCTGAACAAAGTAATTTTAAGTGACACTGTAGTTTGGGTGTATAATGCAGTTAGAATAACAAGAGACTTGACATCCATAGAATTGACACCCATAGCTTGCACTTAACTATCCACACCAAAAACAGGATATCACATGACACTGTGGGTTGATATGTTTACAGTGCTAAGCAACAGCACTGTTTTGCTCAATTTATTTTCTGACATAGATCATCTATTTTCCCTGTCTGTCTTTCATATGCCCTTAGACTATATTATGTTCAACAATATATTGAAAAATTACCCAAATCAAAAAATTTATATTTTAAATGTTAATGTTCATATTTTTCTATATTAATAAATTAATGTATGGAAAATGTTATTGAAATCAAAATACCACTCATATTTCAGAACAAGTGGTAAAGCTTCATTTGACGCCAATTTTTGCTTTGTAACACCTACATATTAAATATTATGGAGTCTTAAAGGAGATCTGGGTAAGGCCAAAATGTCATAAATATGCAAACGTTTATTATTTCTCAATTATGCTTTTAGATACAAATGTCAAATATATGTCAACAATCCTTCCTCCAAAGGACCATTCTATTCATTAAATGTTGTGAAAATCCCCCAAATCATGGTATTTT